TGTTTACCACTTTCACATTATTTGGGGCTACATAGAGCTTAGTATTTTTATTGTATACATTGTATATTATTGTTCACTGTTGATTTGATATTTTGTTTCAGCTCGGCACATGCTAGTTTATATATATTTGCTGTTCCCTATTCACAGTAGCTTGTTTTATATTTTAGGGCTGCGAAAATTAACGATTAATCCCTCGATTAATCGTGAATTTTTTTGATCGATCAAAATTATTTTGATCGGTACTCACCTCTCCGCCGGCTTCCGGGTCTTCCGTCGGAGATCCGGTGACGTCACGGACATCGACGTCACCGGACTCCTCCCCCCTTCCCCAAGTGGCTCTGTCGGCTAACGAAGGGAAGGGGGGAGGAGCCCGGTGACGTCGTTGTCCGTGACGGCTAACGAAGGTAAGGAGGGAGGAGTCCGGTGACGTCGATATCAGTGACGTCACCAGACTTCTCCCCCTTCCCTTCGTTACCTGACGAAATCACTTGGGCCGGTGAGTCTCATGGTTCATGAGTGCATCGAATGTGTGGACAATTTTAGCTGTCAGTTGCCTGAAATATGCTAATGGAAGTTCCCTGCAATAGAAGAGGTAATATACTCACCTCTCTGTTCAAGTGCTGCATCCTCCGTCAGTTTCTTCAGCTTTCAACACTTCCAGGAATGTTGGATACCTGTATCCCTCACTACACACTGTGGTTTAATCCTCCAACCCCTACAGGACACAGTATTGATGTACGGGTCAGTGGATGGAACCACAGTGTGCAGTGGTGTACACATCCCAGAAGTGTCAAATGCTAATGAGCCTGATGGAGGCTGCAGTGCCTGGATGGAGACAAGGGCCACCGGATAGGTGAGTATAGAGCTTAGAGATCCATTTTGTGTGGTTTTACAAGAAATCAGAATGTGCCCTATTACCTGAAAGTAGTTGGATCTGTATGTGCGTTATAATTAATTGAAATTAGTCGATTAATCGTTTTTAAAAAATTTCGATTCCAAAATTTTAATCATTGCCAGCCCTATTATATTTGCATTGGTGCAGATCACTATTGTTTAGAACATACCGTCGCTCGCTCACTTCTCGATCATCTCCCTGCAGAGAGCAGTGAGTGTTAGTCACGGCTCCAGCGCTGACTGGAGGAATGGATGGGGGAGTGGCGGGTAAAGCCGGCTCTGCCTCTAGATAGGCAGATCCAGCTGTCACTCACGCAGCTGGGCGGATCTCAACAGTAATGTCGGGATCCGTCCCGGCGGTCTCAGTATACCGCGAGGTGTAGCTCGCGATATACTGAGCTTTGGGTCACAGAAGGAGGTTAGTATATGTCCTCCCGTGACCCTTAGGAGAACTATGGGGAAAAACACTTACCCCATAGTTCTCTTTTAAACTTCCACATAGTTCACATCACATTTAATGCATTTGCGTCATCGTTTTACCCAGGCCACAAAGTTGGTTTGCAAAACATCTACTGAATATTCTTTGCTTCAGTACTTCAAATCTGTTAACTTTCTGCAGGTTTTCAAATCTTGTGTCACAGATGTAATCGTTAATTTGCCCAGACAGGTAGAAGTTAGATGGTGCCAAATCTGGGCAGTAGGGTAGATAAAGGACCACTGACCAGCCCACTGTGGCACTCACGTGACTGGTGGCATGAGAGGTATGTGGGCGTGCATTATCATGATGCAGCTGTATGGCATGGATGTCTTACTGTGGTCTTTTCTTCCTTATGGATTCCTTCAGCTTTCGAAGTGTAGCAATGTCAGTGTTACTGTTGACCAGGGCCGGTGCAAGGATTTTTGCCAACTCAGACGAAGGTGCATTCTTCCATGGAGGCTCCCTGGTGGCTAGTGTGGGCTCCATAGTGTAGGTTGACCATTCATCCCTGATTTCTGGGGACAGTCCCCAGATTGAGGAGACCATCCCCTGACAAATTATGTCCCCGGAAATATAAAATATACTTAAACCGGCGCGCTGTGTGCAGCTTCTGAGAAGATACGCTATTAGCATAGCGAGGAAGCCGGCTGCGCATTTTGCATCGCTCCTGCTACGCTAATAGCGTATCTTCTCAGAAGCTGCACACAGCGCGCGCCGGTTTAAGTTATAACCAGCACACTCTGTATGCAGCTTCTGACAGCGGGAGATGGGAGGCTGGGCTTGTCGGAGGCTCCAGGAATCAGTGAGTATTAAAAAACTAAAATGTTTTATTTTATGTTCCCGGGGACATGTAGGGCTCATTCACACTGGAATCGGCCGGCATGTACAGCTCCGTTCTGCGTGCACAGCCGTATCGGGCAGCTCCCAGGAAGGACAGGTGCTGCGGGTGATAAGTACGCAGCCCCTGTCCTTCTCTATGGGAGTATGCAGCCGTACACCCCCCTACACTCACCCGCCCTGCACGTCCGTACGGGTGCATGTTTCCTGGCTCGGACGCAGACAGGATCCATCCTGTCAGCATACGGGTACGCTCACCAACATGCAGGACGGGTGAGCGCAGGGCGGCGTATGGCCGCGTAGTCCCATAGAGAATCCGTTGCACCCCCTCCCCCCCAATGTATTTAACATGTATTACAATATATCAGACCAAGAATCCCTGTTTGTATGGATGTACAGCAGTGTGTAAAGGGTTCATTTAGACACCCTATTGGAAGATCTTTTCTCTATTCCTGTTCTAGTAACAACTGTAAAATGTCCGATTTTCGTATCACTTTGTGTCCTGGGGCAATGGTCACCAAGACAAACAAGGAAGGGTTATCTCCCCAACAGTGGAAGAAAACATCAAAAAATGGCACTCTCCACTCGATCCAAAACTAAATTAAAACATATGCTGGGCAGGAGTGTATTTCTGTGAGATTTGGGATCCTTATTGTTACTAGGTTCTTACAATAAGGCCTGTGACATCACCTCTGCTTAAGAAACCAGAGTGTAAGGTAAGTAAATTTTACATTTTTCTGCCCATGTTTGATTTGTTGGAATGTTTAATATGAGGGAAGGGTGGTGGGGGGTTTAAGTCTAAAAAAAGGGCTTTTTTTACACAATATATGTTGAGCAGTGTTTTTTTCTGCACAGCACCACACATCTATGATGTAAACAGGGCACAAAAACAATTGATTTCTATGTGCTATGATCACGATACATGCGTGGCAGTGAGCAGAAAACACAGCTCAGTGGACATAGTGAGAACCAGCCCTAAGGGAACCTTGCATTTTGATTTGATACAAGGTCTTTGAGTATTTCAAAAGGGACCGGCCACCGCAGCTATACTCACATTATCAGCGATCCTGTGCCGCTCCTGCTGCCAGCACTGGAATAAACTGTGTCGTCAACTTGGGGGAATAGTGATGGCTCTCCCTTTGTCATTAGACAGTTCTCTGGCCTGGCAATTGGCTACTAGACCTGTGCACCGTCAATTCAGGCTAGGTTCACACCTAGGCGATTGAGCTGGTGTCAGAAACCACCTGTATTGCGCATGCACAGGGTCCCGTTTTCCATACTGCAGGCAAACGGGCACATGCGCGGGCGCTATGGAACGGCCTTGCAAAAGCGTGCCAAATGGCGCACAGGAAGTGACGTGGTTCCCTAATGGATCACACAATTTAAACCTGCCTTCCTGTCTCCAAGTTGCTGGATTGTCTTTCAGTTCCCCTGTGTTTTCATTATCCTTGCTAGACTTCTGACCCGTATTGTTTGAGATAACTTTTGCTTGCTGCCTGCCTGCCTTCTAACCTTGGATTGTTTACCAGACTTCGCCTCTGCTTCATCGTTTGTACCTTGCTGCCCAACTGGTGTGACCCCTGGCTTGTTTGACCTAGGAATCTGCTTTGCTCCTGACTTAGTGCCTGGACTTTAGCTTGCACGATGTGATCACCGCTGGCACCTGTGCCACTCGCTGTCTATTTGGACTCTGTTTCCATGTTCCCAACTCCAGAGTTCTTGGGACACAAGGTGCAAGGGAAGCCTCCTAGAGATGTCTATGGGACCCAAACCGTGCGGCAACCACTCAAATATAGCTCCTGGACTTTTTTGTGTGACAGGCAATTTTGTCCACGTGACAAACCGGAAAGGTGTAAACATCCTCTATTGACTTCAATGCAAATCTGTTTTACGCAATATCACGCGACTCGATCCACCCAATAAATCTCCTAGGTGTGCACCAGCCCTAAGGCTGGGTTCACGCCTAGGCGTATCGAATATGTGCGTTTGTCGCGCGTTTTTACCGCGATTCGCGGTTAAAAAAACATGCAACAAACGCGCGTTTCCGAGGGCTACTTGGCGACAAAAACGCCCCAAAGAAGCTTCTGTACTTCTTTGGGCGTAGGGCGTTTTGTAGCGCGTTCATACGGCCTGTAATACGCCCAGGTGTGAACCATACCCATAAGAAATAATGGGATTTCGGTGTTTGAGCGTTTTGCAGAGCGTTCAAACGCGCTACAAAACGCCCAGGTGTGAACCAGGCCTAAAAACCACATACTCCATGTCAGGAAGCACCGGTTTTCCTATACAGTGGCAATTAAGGCAGTAATCACTGGCAATGTGAGTATAACTGGTGCAAAGTGGCATTGTTTTTTGCACATATTTATCTTAGTGTAGTCAAACCTATTTTCTTGCTGCAGCTGGAAGGTATGTGTACACAGTTAAAACAAATTCTAACACTTGTATTAAATTTCACTATTAAAAAAAAAAGCAATGCACATCCAATATAAGATTAAATGTGTTTTCCATGAGGCTTCTCATTTTAGCCTCACAGAAGGTTAAGTGGGGGACTATGTTTCGCATTTAATCTGTGAAAGTCATTGAAGGAACTGTATTTATACACTTTTGGTTAAACTCCATGCATGTAGCAGCTAAAAAAAACAAAAACGTGGTGATCGCATGGCAGGACGTTCGATAGACGTCACAGGCATGCGCCACACCAGGTGACACAGGCGGGCCATATTATTGGATATTGTACCGCGCTCGTAAGAATACTCGTCTCGCGAGATCTAGGCTGTATTTAAGTATTGGACGGCTCTCCCGCCCTCCCTCAGAAGACCGTCCATTACAAGCAGGCGTAGTGTTGGAAGAAAGGTAGCGGGTTGCAAGGATGGAAGACAGCATGGACATGGACAATCTGGCTCCTCTTCGCCCCCAAAACTTCCTATTCGGTATTTTGCTACTCTCATGTTGTCCTTTCCCTGTTGCTTATGGTTACAACGTGCTCGGCCTGCTAGCAAGGCCGCTCTGCCTTCCTTTCTACATAATCTGACGAGAGTCACCTGAGAAAAGGGGGGGTGGGACTCTTTCATGCTGTATTCATGCTATTAGAGCGACCTCGTTCACTTCCACATCTGTGTATCCGAGTAGTTTACAGTGGGATACGTACGGTGCGATCGGCACGTGAGGCCTGCAGTGGCTAGAAGGCGTGACTTGGCCGGGGAGTAAGCCTTTGTCGTGCACCGCCACGTGCTTGCCGGAAGCGGTATACGTGGGACGAATGTACACGGCAAATCACCGCAGGCTTATGGTAGTTAAGTGACTGTACTGCGAGAACGTGAAGCTGGTCGCTCATACACTCCGGATGTATGCATCATCTGCACAAATTCAGCAGAATAGAGATTTAAGAAATATTACAATTCTACCTGTGTTTTTTTTTTAAATCTGTATGTTGCTCTAGATCAAGCTTTTGGTTTGCAGGTTTTTGACTGTCACCATTCTTCTATTCAGTGAACCTCCATGTGCTTGTCTTTCAACCTGACTGTAATGGGAATCCTATCTGATGCTAGTTTCACAATAACTTTGTTAGTTCGATTTCAAAGGAGACTGACAGGCCCGTGCAGCTGTTTTTTTCAATTTGCATAGAGCTACCTAATGTCTCATTTTAGTAAGACGCTGATTTATTCTATTAATGCACATGTCAAGGCCCAGGGGCCGAATCCGGCCCACCAGGCCATTTCCTAGACTTCTACTTTCAGATCTAGATATTAAGTTATTACTAACGGTGATAATCAAATGCAGAGGCAATTATGATAAAGATTAGATGCCTTTTATGTAGTCTTAGATACCTTTTGAGGGCAACCATAAGGTTGATGCGGCCCACAATTAAATTGAGTTTGACACCCCTGTTAGTATTTTTAGCTCATGCATGTTTGTACATTTTACGTTGAAGTCTAATCTTGTGTACCGTATCCACTATAAGGTTCCTTACCCAGTGCTGTTATTCTTGTAGGCTGTGAGCTGAAAGCTGACAAAAAAGAACATGCGTTTAAAGTGGATGATGATGAAAACGACCATCAGCTGTCTTTAAGAACGGTAAGAAATGTTAAAAGGCACTGCAAGCTTTTCTTAAAAAATGCAAAGTCTTAGGGCTAGTGCAGACCAAGGGTGTTAGGCTGTGCTTGCCCAGCACATTCCCAAGGCAAAGCAATTGGCCTTGTTTTCAGTCAGCTCAGTTCACACTAGGGCTCCAATCAACTAATCGGGAATCGATTGATAATAGTTGTCAACTATTATCGATTAGTTGGTTGGGTCCCCTAGCTTGCTCCTCCTTGCTGGGAGGAGGGCAGAGCAAGCAGTGGTGGGTGAAATAGCTATTGCAATTTGAAACGGCCAATAGCAGGATGACTATTGCATCAGCCCACTACATGATCTTTTTACATGCAGCTGCCGTCTGCAGAATGTTGCCACTGGCCTCTGCCATTCCCTGGCTGAAGCTATTCGAGCGTCATTTGTTTTTTTTCACTGCTAATTTTTTAATTATACAAGGGGGGGGGGGGTCACTTTTGGTTATGGCCTGACAAATTCTGCTGCCGGAGGTGTGTTGCAGTGCCATTCATGTCAATGACACCCCAAATGTGTCCCCCACCCACATAGGGTTGCAACTAGTGCCTTCCTGTTCGATTTGGCATTTTTTTTTTCGATGAATCGATAAATAAAATATACCATCTATAAAATAGACACATGCAGTGTTGAACATAAGGTTTACTTCAGAATAAAACTATGTACAATTTTTGCAATCACGCACTGGATTGAACCATACTTTATAGGGTTTTTTTCTGGATCGACCGAGGAAGGCAACAAAACTGTTCAGGCTTTTTTTTTCCCCCATATCTATAGTTTGAACTCGATGGACATGTCTTTTTTTTCAACCTGACTATGGATTCCCCCGCTCCAATCCTCCAGCGCTGACTGCAGGAACGGACAGGGGAGGGGGCGGGCACAGCTGGCTCTGCCACTAGATAGGCAGAGCCAGCTGTCATTCACGCAGCTGGGTGGATCTCGACAGCTTTGACGGGGTCTGTCCCGGCGTTCAACGCTGGACGAACGCTCTACAAAACGCTCAAACATCTAAATCCCATTGTATTCAATGGGTCTGGTTCACACCATGCCGTATTTCCGCCCGTCTGAACGCGATACAAAACGGCCTACGCCCAAAGAAGTACATGTGCTTCTTTGGGGCGTTTTGGTCTCGCGTTTCCATTGGGATACAGCCAAGTAGCCCTCGGAAACGGGCGTTTGTCACTCGTTTTTTACCGCGTATCGCTGTAAAAACGCGCGACGCGCATATTCAATACGCCTAGGTGTGAACCCAGCTTAAGACAACTATGGGGAAAAACACTTAGCAGCCCATAATTCTCTTAAAAACTACCTTCAGGAGAACCATTATAAGGAGAATGTGTGCATTATCACTATAATCATCCAAATCATTGGGTTACTCTAGGCCAGGGGCGCCCCCTATTTTTCGTCTGGAGATCTACTTTTCAAATGACGAGCTCATTGAGATCTACCAACGAAAAAACACCTGCATTCAGGGACGGGAGGGGGCGTGGCGGTGCATTGAGGTCAATGGCACCGCAGGCAGGCCCCTCGCCCACAGTGCGATCGCCTGCATTAGTGCCTGTGTTCCAGTCCAGTGCGATCCGCAAAAATGCTGCGAGCACTATTTTTGCAGATCACACTGGACCGGAATGCAGGCACTAATGTGCCTGCGTTCCGAGTGCGGCCGATCGAAATGTGGCCGATGCCATTGACTTCAATACAGCTCCACACCCCCTCCCGCACCTGAACGCAGGGAGTCGGCCGGCTTACATTCCAGTGCGCCCTACATGTCCCGGCGTCCTGTCCTCCCGTGGTGCTCGTGTGGCCTATGTTGCACATGGGGTGTCCTGCACCTTTCCATCTGCAGCGTCTGACACATTCAGCCGCACGAGCACCACGGGAGCATAGCCTAGCCAGCTCCTTTTGCGCCTGAGGCAAGAAAAAAAAACAAAGTTTTTATTTTATTTTTTATTTTCGTTTTTTTTATTTTCGTTTTTTTCGGCGGGGGGAGAGGACATGGCGATCTACCAGTGATCGCGATCGACCTTGTGGGCACCCCTGCTCTAGGCAGACCAATACTCGATCAGACTTCTGAAAGAGAAAAAAGTGGAAGCCAACCTCTTTTCACTGTAGCTCAGGGTTCGTTCACACCATAGGCAAGTGCGTTCCGGTCAGAATCCGGACCGGAACGCAGTGCCCGCATTGGCACCGTAGCCACACAATGCAATCGCTCGCACGGGATTGCAAGGCACGTTGTGGCTGCAGTGCGATAAAAATAGTGCTTGCAGCATTTTGATCGCACAATGTGCCTTGCGATCCTGTGTGGGCGCCATGCCCCCTCCACCCGGCAAAAAGTGAGCCGGTCGCAATGCGGGCAGGGCGTTCCCGTCCGATTCTGACAAACGCACTGCCTATGGTGTGAACGAACCCTAAGACTGCTGCACACATCAGAAGAATCTTCTTTAACTGCCTCCGGGCCGGCCGTAGTAGAAAAACGGCCGGCCCGGAGCTCTCTAGATCTGAGCAGGCGTCTTTAGATGTCCGCTCAGACACGCCGCCGAGCGGACGTCTAAAGACGCCCGCTCAGATCTAGAGAGCTCCTGGCTGGCTGTTTTTCTACTACGGCAGGCCCGGAGGCAGTTTAAAAGAACGCAAACAAAAAATGTAAAAAAAACTTTTTTCTGTAATTTTTTCCTAATTATAATAAAAACCCCAGTGGTGATTAAATACCACCAAAATAAAGCTCTATCTGTCCCTAAAAAATGGTATAAAATTCATTTCAGTACAGCATTGCATGACGGAATAAACGTCACTCAAAGTACCACAGCGCTGAACACTGAAAAATGGCCTGGCCAGGAAGGGGGTCTAAACACCTGGTCTTGAAGTGGTTAAAGAAGTAATTAATACAAGTTTGACATGGAGACATAATAGAAGTAGTACTAAGTTTTAACCCGCAGACAGCACATTTCTTTCTAGGTAATTTTTTTTTTTTTTTAACGTAAGTGGCTTTGGCCTAGAAGACATAAGTACCCACCACTCAGAGCATTTTTAAAATAGTGTAGACCACCCCTGGTCACACAACAGATAGTCCCAATCACCAAAAAGGAGATCTCCAGTACATGCATTCGGAGCTAATTAAAGCAAAAATTCCGGGACCTAGCAAGCAAATATCGAGCTTTTACCTGTGCAGAAGCGGTACCATCCTTGACTGCATCCACAGGGACTTGGAGTTTTAGCCTAGGATGAATCCATTGGCGTTCCCTCCTGTCAGCGTATACTCGGCCTCTGCTGAGATTCCTGCTTCAAGTACCATGGGCTTTTGTGTATTACCATTGTGCTTTGCTTTAATTTTAATGACCTTGAATGCAGTAATTGAATGATAGTGCATATATGCATTTAAACTCTTCATGTATCTCAAAATAAAAATAATCTCCCATGTGGTAAGGAAAGCTTGGTTGTCAAACTAAACTCTCAAATGCCAGCAATTTTCTTGGGAGTGCCTGAAAACGGACTTCTACTACTGATGCCTGTGCCCACCAAAACACTGAACAAGCCCATTGATTTTGTTGTAACATGTTTGCTGCAAGACTCTTAAAACTGCATAATGTGCACTAAATTTGCAGTATAAACATTTTTTTTTTCACTTTATAGGTTACTTTGGGTGCTGGTGCTAAAGATGAGCTGCACATTGTTGAAGCTGAAGGAATGAACTATCAAGCAAAACCTATTAAGATTGTGCTTGCATCCTTGAAACCATCTGTACAACCAACGGTATGACAATAACACAGCTTAGTTTGTGTTCTTTTAAACCAAAAGTACAAAATAGATAAGCCAGGGCTAGACAAATCCCAGGAGTCCGGTAGCCCTTTCTTAAATTACAGCAGGTTCCTAACTTTTCGTTTTTTTCTAGTTGTGAAAGGTACTGGCTCATAAAAAAAATCAATTTGGCTCCTGAATTCCATATAATTTTGCCCATCCACGAGGATTAACTTAAATACAGTCCTTTATTAAAACTGTTTTCCCCTGTATGTATAATTGGAAAAATTTCTGGTATCCATACTTTCCAAAAAATGTTCTCTGCTTGAGACAAGTGCCTATATTTGTGGACAGGCTCTCATGCCAGAACCTTCCTATCTCAGTAGGTGGGTGCTACAGTTCTGATGATTGGTAAGTACTTTGTCCCCCAGTTGGCAGATGTCATGTTGGTGAGGAGTGCGAAGTTACCTGACAATGCAGGGCAGTTGGAAATTTATGAAATCTAAGATTCCAATTAATGTTTTGGATCACTTTGCCCTCCTTTGCTGGACTGCTCAATTGTATTGTCCAGTCTCGATTCAGTCAGCCAATGGCACAGTGATGGCATACATTAATCACCAGAAAAGGGATAGGTAGCATAAAAGCAGTCAAGGCGGTAGAGCTCATCCTGCTCTTGGCAGAACATGTCCACATTTCTATAACGGAAAATTGTCAAGCAGACTTAAGTCGACTACTTGTTAACCCAGGGTTTTTGTACTCGCCATATGCTTCATGTGTTGGATATTGCCATTATGGTGTTTTTCATGCTATTTGCAACAAATGTTCAGAATGTGTAGAGCAGGGATGGGCAAACTCTGGCCCTCCATGTCAGTCTTGTAATGCCTAATGGGATTTGTAGTTGCATCACAGCTGGAGTTTGCCTATCCCTGGTGTAGAAGGAATGCATTCAAGTACCTCAACTATTAACAAAAATGTAGCTTATTTGTGAAACACTAGATCCTCAAATCTCTGAATTTATGCTGACACTCCTTCCTTCTGGAGGGTGGCTACTTTTGTTCCTCATAGTTTGTGTTGTAAAGTAGCCATTCAGGGGTGTGGACATTTAAAAAAAAAAAAAAAAACTTTGTCCAAGGCTAAAACATCTACTTGTCCCTCATGATGATCTACTTGTCCTGATAAAAAAAAAAAATAGTTTTAACCAAAACCGTATGTAGCAGTGCTAAGTGCTTCTCGTTGGTCAGTGCCGTCAGGTGACCGTGCTGACCGAGTGCTTGCAATTTGTAAGCAACATTCAGAATACATGGCACAGGGCTGCGCTGGACGGCAGTATGAGGTACAGATAGTAGATCTGTACTGGTGGATGGGAAAAAGGACCGCTTGCCGAAAGGTTAAGTATAGGTGGAGGGAGAGTGGGCCAGATTTGTGCAGGTAATTCCATTTTCCCAAATTACTTGGGAAAGTGAATTTACCCTTTTAGGGCTGGAGCAGATTTGGTCTGTTTGTTGTTTTTAAACATATGGGTAAAGGTCTGCTTTAAAAAGATTCACGGTAACACAATTAAGAAGCTGGGAGTTGTAGAGCATGCAGATAGTCAATGCTTTACATGCATACTCGTATATCAAACTAGTGAAGCTATTGCACAAACCAAAACTATGGTAGCAACCTTCATTATGGAAAAAATTGTCATTAACCCCTTCCACTCAATTAAGAACGTGGCATTTAAGTGGCCTATCTCCGATATGCTGTTAAATTGCAAAGCATTTTTGACAAATCTTTTCAATAGTTTTTTTGTAGTGATTTCACTGATGTATTTCATTTGTATTTGTGTACTTTTTTTTTTTTTTTTTTTCTTCCTAGGTATCACTTGGTGGCTTTGAAATTACACCTCCAGTGACTTTGAGACTTAAGGCTGGTTCTGGCCCTGTATATGTCAGTGGGCAGCATCTTATTGGTAAGTACTGCTGTGTTGGTTATGCCACCACAATCTATATAGCAGCTGTTTCTAATTGCATTACAAGTTTGTCAGCTCAGCTGTGGTGTCCAACACTGTAGTGGTCTACAATGTACATGCAAGGACTGCCTTCACAGGTTCTTACTGTGACAAAGGGTCTGGGGACTAGACTCGGGGCCTGTTCACATGATATCAGGTGCGTATCTGCTGATGCAGTGCGTTTTTAATGCGTTCCAGTAAAAAAAAAAAAAAAATTTTTTTTTTGCTGGAGTAGGGCTATCAGTATTAGCTGCAGTGCGTTTTTGTCGCGTTTTGCATTTTCTGACCATACAAAACTTGACATGCAGTATTTTTTTCGGTTGTAACCTGAACAGACTGCGCACTTGAGAACTGTAGCCCATAAAATACATTGGGATGCATTTTTAGTGCAGGAGCGTACGGATCAGTGCAGAAAACGGACGTCGTGTGAACAGGCCCTCAGACCTTTAAGATTAAGCATCCCTTTAGCTGTGTGGAGCAGAGCTGGGGTTGAGTTGGTAAAATGTGAGATTAAACATCCCAGGCACCCCTTTAGCTGTGTAACTTGTTGTGCAAGTACAGTCCCAGATGGGAGCACATGCATATGGGTGGCTATGCCTTGGTTTCTGGGAGACCCTGCAAGGCTGCCTGGACTCCCCCCTATAGGGGAGACGTTAAGTGGGCAGTAGATCTTCTGGGGCAACCTAGAAAGAAAACCAAAAAACTCTTCTGACACAGGAGATTAATCTTGTACTGATGGGTTCTATATCTAGGTCGGGTGTGGCCTCCGGCTGCGATCTATGTGGGGGTGCCATGGCTACTGCTACCTACAATGTGGTCCGTCTGCGTTTCATGTACTCAATGCCTTTTTATCAGGTTCCCCCCCAGGGTTACCGGGGCTTGCTGACACTAGGGATATGCTCTGTTTTTGGAGTGTTTTGTCTTGTGTGGAACAAGTTCTTTTTCGCAAGCGACGTAAGACGCGTGCACCCCCCTCCATCCCTGTCTTTTGGGAAGAGGAAGACACCCCTACACTTCTAAGCTGGGGCCTGTGGATTGTCAACATTTTGATAGTGTGGATGAGGCTTCATCTTTTTTGCAACAAAATGGATTGGTCTCTGCACTTGTCTGTAATTGAAACTATCAAACTTGAGGATTCTGAGGGTGTTTTGGCAGGGACTCCAGTTCCTTTTGGTACACACGAGTCCAGGTGTCCAAGTTTTCGTATCCTACCTTTTTTTTTATGCCGTTGTCCTTCCCAAGTTTTCCCCTGTTCATTACACTTTAACCATTTTGTTTGCATATATCTACTGCTAGCAAGCAGTAGATATATGCAAAAAGTTTTTTTGTTTTTTTAAAAAACGCTTTTAACAGTGGTTTAAACTTACCCCGTCTTCGCCCTGCTTGCTCCTGGCCAAAAATACAACACTGCTAGGGCGGCCGCATAACATCGTGGGGCAGGCGCATGCGCAGTTCGGATTTTTGGTGGGGAGACACGAAAGGTAAGTATGGACGCATGCAGACACACCGTGGGATTGGAAGTGCCAGCACTTATCCGCCACAGCGCTGGAGAGAAGACTGAAAAGGACAGGAAAGAGGAAGATCGGGTTAACAGTTATCATTTTAAGGTAAGTGCTGTCATGAAAGGGGGAACTAAAAGTTCTCCAACACCCTTTAGTAGTGGTGGGACCTGCATAAGTGTGCTGTGGAGTCTGCTTAACCCTAACCAGCTATGAATCTAGGAAGCGCCTGCTTCCAACTGTGGTCTGAGGGGCAGAAATTTTAGCTGAAAGACTTAAGACCATGCATCGAATAAAAGCGAGAAGTCTGAGAGACCTTTAACCACCTCAGGGCCGGCCGTTGCAAAAAAAACGGCCGGCCGAGAGGTCTCTATAGCTGAGCGGGTATCTTTAGACGTCCGCTCAGACACGGCGAGTGGGAAATGGCCGATATTTAAAAACAGGCAGCGATGCCTGTTACCATACAAGCGATCCGCCGGCTGTAGAGCTGGCGGATCGCGTGTATAAGGTGCCGATCGGTGTCCCGCTGTGCCCGGGTGCGAGCCTGGCATCAGCATGTCGCCTGTGTCACGGGATCAGAGGGAGATCGTTACACGAGCTCCCTCCGATCCCCTCTCTGCAAGAATGCGGAAGTGTTGTAGAATACATCACTTCTGCATTCTTGTGTCACTCTCTCCAGCTTCAGAAGCTGTTGGCGCAGATCTGTGCTTCATTTGGGGGGTCCCAGGTGACTGGTCTTGGAGACCCCTGATGTCACCATAAAGAGGGCCTGTCACATATTTTGCTATCACATAGGGGAGTTTAATTAGCCCCCGTATGTAATAGCAATAAAGTTAAGTGAAAAAAAAACACACCCATACATACACGCATGCGTCGGGGGCGCATACACACAAAAAAGACGATTACGCTGCACATGTTACATATCGCCGTGAACGTCGGAGTGAGAGCAATAAGTCTAGGGCCATCAATCACTGATAACACTAAACCGATGAGCAGTAAAAGCTTTTAAAGCATCGCCTATGGCCAATTTTGGGTATGGTAGTTTTCTGCGATTTCGCGGGTGCGCGCAATTCATCCATGCTAAAGATAGATGGACAACTCTCCCACTGGGCTATTGTATTTTGACAGCAGCAGATGTACCACTGTCAGAATAGCTGATTGGCTGCCATCACTGTTCAACCAAAACATTTTTGCCGATCACCTCTCAAATTCCTGTTCTAACCCTTCAAACCAATCCACGAAAATATGGGGACAAACCAAAGTAGCATACAACTCTTTACAAGTAAATATAATCCAAGATGCCCATACCTGTGAAATTTGTCAAGTTTATCCTGCTTGGTGAGAAGTACTTCCATATCAAGTATATGCCATCTGGTTTAACCATGCCACTACTATGGGAGCACGGGTTTCCCTCCAGTATGCCTTTATTGTTGCCCTACTTCTACACCATGTGAGTTAGGTGGCCTCAGTTTGAGCCCTACAGGCTTAGCAAGAGTTGGAGTTTAAGCACCTGAGAACATCTACTGCAGAAGCAGATTCAACCAAACAAGTCAATGCTCTTAGGATATGTCATTAGCGTCCCATGAGCACAACCATAGTGCCCTGTGGATCTGTATGTGCATGAACCCATGCTCTGACAGAAGTTTGGATGCCTGTAGCAAGCCATCACAACAAACATAAAGCTCCAGACATTTGCTCTCTGAAATGAAGTCTACCCTGGTGACTGAAAGATTAAGGTCACTGCCAACACAGGACAGAAGGTTGCACCAACCATGTTTTGACTGCTTTTTGAAGAGGCATTCTAACAGCCTTTTAAGGCGAGTACACTTTCCAGTTGTCTAGCTAGTGTTCCTTTTGAAGGTGGTACACTGGTTGGTAAACAAGATTGTGTCCGCCATTAGTCAAATTCACTCTCAAAAGAACATTTCCTTCACTTATGTTGAGTTCAGGACCCATCAGGGTGGTTGTCTGCATAGTGATATACCTAGGTCTGACATGACCCCCTGTGACTCCTGAGGTGACGGCATTGTCTGTCTCTTCAAAAATCTATAATTGGAGTTTGATCTGGGACCAGTGGTTCAGCCTGATCTAAGGCCTCTGAAGGCTGAGATGAACTCTGCAGGGAATGGTGCTAGTGTTGAAAGACTGTAGTCAGTATTTGCAAGGGGTGTACATGGTCAAATCCTGAGTGGAAGAGGTCCATAAACATAGGGCAGGGAGCTTATCCCCACTAGACTCCAATAAAGAAAACTTTAGACAATAGGGGTACTAGGTTATGGTTTAGAGGCATCATTACCTTCAAAGGGTAAGCCCTTACTCCTGCTGCTACAGGTACCCCCAAAACCAGTAGGACAGTCCCATATGTGTCTGTGCAGGAATGTTGTGGCAGCAAAGCAACTAGCCAGAAGTTTATTGCAAGGCCTCAGTTACTTAAAAAAATCCAAGGCAGCTGGTGCTGATTGTCGGGTGGTGGGAGGTGACTCACTGTTGCTGTGTTGTGGTAATGAGCAGAGTTCCAAGCTTTGATTGCAAAAAGTTGCTTTCACGGGAAGGTGCTTCCTCTATGCTAAATGATGAGGGCGACACCACAGGTCACACTCCACCCATCAGATGTCAGCACTCCGTTCCTTGGCATTAACACTTAAGCTGGGTACACACACATATTTTCTTCAGCCTACGGGCTGAACAAAGGAAATGAAAGATTCCTTTGTCTGTGCTGAACAGCATGGACAGACAAATATCTCACTGTGGGAATTGTATTGACCTGAGAAAGCGCTCTGACTTAACTAGTATCCTCAGGTCTGGAAAGTGCCTCAATGTAGAGCCCAGTACCGAAGGGCACTTATGAGGTTAGTCCTGCACATCCAGCCCAGAAGGGTCCATGTAAAGCCTCCAAAGATAGGCTGAGAAAACACTGATCCATAAAGCTGCAGATGTAGCTCAAGGCAAGTGGCAATAAAATGAGGAATCTTTATTTTACCAATAAAGAATAATCCAGGCACCAGCAAAACACGGGGGTGCTGGGAGATGAGGTTACACTGGGGGCTGTCTAATTTGTCATTGTCCAATGCTCCTGATGGCAGTATTATAAGCAGACCATCTGAATTCCGGTGTCCCTCCATGCATACAAAAAAAAACAATGGGACTTGCTGTATAACACTTTCTTGGTGTTGATTGAGAGGCAGTCTTCCCCATGTTTATGATCATGGTCTTGATACTGCTTGCTACAAACACTTTGTTGGGACAGACCATGTTCAAATAGACAAAGATCTTGAGGCTTGGGTTCTGCATTCTTTAATGATGGGAACCGTCTCCACTTTTAGATTAAGATTAGCTTGTAGTCTGCCCAAAGACCTGCTCTCAAATTATGTTTAAATAAATGCTTAGTCTGGGCTGCACAAATCCAAAGAGCTAAGCAGCCAATGCTCCTTAAATGAAGCTGACTTAACTTTTCAGGCTTCTAGTTGTCAATGGAGCCTGCTCCAAAAAAATCTTGCTGGCTTCCTGAATTCCATATGTCCACCCCTGTTTTAAGGATGCCTTGTAAATGGGAAAGTATAAAGTCAAATTATCAAATTTGACTGCAAAAGTAGACCTACACTACCGTTTAAGATCTTGGAAAGTTATGGAATAATCTGTAAATGCTATGATTGGAAGTAGGCAGCTTCACCTAATACACTGCACTTGATTGGTGTAACTGTAGTTAATGTTTCTGTCTCAACAGACAATGGGTGCTATTGTAGTTTTTATAAACCATTGACAGTGTCCAAATTCTGTTCCATTGACAGCATTGGAAGAAGGATTGGAGTCATCAGATGAGGATGAAGACGAGGAAGAAGAGAATGCAGGAATTGTAAAGAATGCGAAAAGGGCTGCAGCAGCTTCTTCATCAAAGGTTCCACAGGCATGTCATGTGCAGATCGGATTACATTCGTACTGTTATCAAGAATTGTCAATGTTAACAATATTATTTATTAACAGAAAAAGGCAAAAATAGAAGCTGAAGAAGATGATTTTGACGATGAAGATGAGTGAGTAAACTGGTCAAATATAACTTCACTGTGGTGTTTTTTTTAAACTGGTTTAATTAAGCGTGATTATACAGTATAACAGTCCAGCTGCAAAAAGGCTACCAGTTGGCTTTTAACAGCTTGTTTGGTTCAACAAAAAATACCTTTTGCTTTAGGTTTTTTACTTGGATGCAAAAAGTATTTCTCAATTACAGCACTGTTCTAGGCCATGGGTCATTTTAAGGGCTAGTTCACACCAGATGGGGTTGTGATCAGTATAGCAGCTGCATCAAAATCGCGTTGCAATGATTTCCAATGGGATTTCTGGTGCTCTGTTCACTCCACTGCAGTCAGAAAAATATACTGCTAGTCTCATTTTAGCTGCACCTGATCGCAACGGAACGCATGCAAAAGCCCATTTTAATCAGACAAAATAAAAAAACTGGCAAAAACGCATTGCGCTGTGCAGACTCGCTCAGTTATGGTGTGAAGTAGCCCTGAGGGTGGACCATATGCATATGTGGGGTGACTACGCTGACCAATGAGAAGCGCTTCTTAGCACAGTTAAATACAGTTTTGATTAAAACTATTTTTTTTTTTTTTTTTTTTATCGGGACAAGTAGATTGTCATGAGTGCAAGTAGTTTTTCAAAAAATGTCCACACCCCCGAGTCCAATGTGTTTTCAGAAAAACATTTGCCTTAAAACCTTGCTGATAATGGGGTACCTCTGGCTCTAGCAACAATTGGTACACTTATGGCCTCTTTAGCAGGTCATAGTGAGTTTTAACTGAAAAACAAGCACCGCAGCTTATGCTGCTACTTTCTTTCCAGATCAATAACAAGAAGCATTGTTTAGTAATGGGAAAATTCGAAAGAGTCCTTCTGTAGCTATGACAACTATTAAAGTGATTTGGAAATCTGCCCAACATGGATCCTGCAAAAACATTGAGCGGCTAGGCTAGTCTTTCCCACTGTTTAATGTTTTGGATTCAGTTGGCCTTTTAATGCAAGATTGCAGTGCTCATATATGCCTCCTGTACTGAACTCACCTGGCTGCCAAAGTTGGTGCTAGAGTTTTTGGGCAGAATATTTGATGCAGGGATAAATATATGTAAACTCTAGTTCTGTTCACCTTGATAGTCAAATGGTGCCTGTACTTTGTACTTCAAAAGGGATGATGATGATGATGATGATGATGATGATGACGACGATGAAGATTTGGAGGAAGAAGAAACCCCTGTGAAAAAGGTATTGATTCAGGGCAAAGTGAGTGTGTATGCAAAGGCCCAACTGCTCCACTTATATTCAACTTTTCCAGTGATTCCCTCTCTGTTCCTTCTACCTTAGCATGCACAAAATATCTGGTGCTTCAAGGTACTAGGGGAGCATGCAGTCTCCTTCCCATGTGACCGTTCTCAGACTTGGGGTCCCAGTACTGCCTCAGCCACGTGACAGTGCTCACTGTTGTGTGACTGAGGCAGTAATGGCAGGGGATTGGTGGAAAGTGGCATAGGGGATTGACTTTCAGACACTCACTCTAACCAATCTACTAGAGTGTGGGCAAATTAACAGGGTCTCTTTAAAATAGAATTTTCCCCAATTATCTTTCTGGACGGCAACCTGAGAGATGATTGGTTCTCCCATCTACAGAAAACACGAGGTTTAAAACCCCTCCCTTGTCCCTCAGTTTAGATTGCGTTTCTTACCGTCCAGGAGATATCATCACATTTCTTTTCTCTGGTCCACATGGTCTTGAGGTCAATGGTTCCCCCTCTGTAGGGCATGTTGCAGGGCTTTGTGGATGGGATGCGGTCTGAGATGTTAAGCAGAAATCCTGAAAGAACATTCTTGAGAGAATCGAGCAGAGAAAAAGGTGGCCTTTCAAACCTACACATAAGGGAGGTCTCCTTTTATTTCTCCTGACTCCTCCACTAAGGAGTCTAAATGATGCCAGACAAGAAGTAGGGGGGAAGACTGTCGCTCTTTTATCAGGAATGGTTAAAAATGACAATCACTTTATTTTAACTCAGAGAGGGTTATCGGTTAGAGTTCGAATGTCTTCCTCCTCCAGATTTGTAGTTCCACTACAGCTGGAGGACCAGAGTTTGGCTACCCCTGCCTTTAGCTGCTGACACTGTTTTAATGTGAAATCACTGATATGCCTATCTACTGAACATGTTTTAGCTTTTCACCTCAACCATGGCATCATTCTTCAATCCCTGTCCAGCTCAAGTTTCAGATCTCTAACCATTGTCTCAATGTAGTTCTCACTGTGAGAATTTACTCCCAGCCACTGCATCGTTTGGCAAGACTGACCTGTCCTTCCTGAGTGGTCCTTGTAAAGGGAAACCAGTTTCTTGCATCATTTCTGGCGATTCAGACCATTTAAGCTTAGTTGTAAGGATTGGGTTCCCCTTTTCTGTTATGGTGCAGTCTTTTTCATCAGGCTTGTTTTTCAGACTTGCAAGGCTTTCCCCTGGTCTTGTCTTCATGTTTCCAGGTTTTACCATGTTGATGCTCAGGCCTCATCTGATGCCATTAAACTGCGAACTGTTCCCATTCCTTTTTTTTTTTTTTCTATCCCTGGTGCTGCTGGAGTCTTACCCTGGCTTCTAGTCTATTGAAACCGTTGTCAATGACTGTGTATGGCAGCTTTTCACAATCTGTTGTTTTTATGTTGGGGTTTTTTTGGGGGGTTTTTTAATCACACTGAAACTTTTGCCTGATTCCTGTCAGCTAAAATTCAAAGTGTATGGCCATCTTAAATTATAGGAAGTCTCCCAACGGGGCAGATCATCTTAAAATCCTGACAATAGTTCTAACTTTGTCCTCTATCCAAAACTACATTTTGGCTGAAATTACACTTGAAGATGCATTTTTAATTGTATGGATTAATCTCCTATAATGCAAAATTCCACATTTACTTTTGTTGAAGGATTCCACCTCCAGTCTTGAATTTAGTTGAACAGAGCATGTGCTAGTGCACTCATTGGCCTTTACTCTGAAATCATGCCTATATTGCACTGCACTAAATTAGGCCATTAAATTGGTTATAAAACTACTAATCAATAAAAACACCCTGTGTACAAATTATATAAAAATACCCAAACTTAACACAACAATCCTGCATTTATAATCTATATTAGAGCATAAAGTCTATAAAAGTGTTGGTAATGTTCAAAATTTAAAAATATCCTTAACCAACTATTCATTTTCAGCTATGTCTTTTTGATGGATCATGTCAATTCATTAAGTGCATATAATCCATACTAGTGCCAATTATCACTGCAAATAATGTAAAATTAACACCTGTAATCAGCAATATATAGCAACATAATCTATCATAAATCGCTAACGTCAAATGAATAAAGTACAAATAGTCCATATAAGTGCCAAAGATCGCTTGTGGTGCTTGTCTATACACAAATGCTAATTATGCATTACAATTGTCTGTGCCCCAAAATCTGCTGAACGTGAAGATCAATGCTTCCAAGTTGGTGAAAATGCTCCAGTGAATTCAAATTTGGATTCATCACTCACCAAATGTATTTTGACTACTCTATGCAAGCATTCAAATAGTGCTTCATAGCCGATTCCTTCCATCAAAAGCCATGCCCCCCCCCCCCCCCCCCCCCCCTCACAATTGGTTTTAATACTCCATAGTTCCAAGTGGAGACATCCATAGGGTAATACCAGAAGATTAAAAAAACAAACTCTTCCATTCCTGTCCAGCTGCGTTCATCCTGTCTCTCTAAGCTGCTACTTTTGGGAATGTGCATTTGTGTCCGCATGTGCCTGCCCACTCAATGCATTTGTCACTTAAAGGTGATTGTAATGTCGAGTTAGTTACGGGAGGACACTAGTTTGTCCTCCCGTTACCTTAGGAGAACTTTGGGGAAAAGCACTAACCCCATAGTTCTCCTTTAATAATGGGAACACGTTAAGCGTGGCAGTCTGCCAATTGCAGGGACAACTGTATACCCAGATAAATCATTGGGCACATATGGGAATGTAAGATAAATCGGCTGACAATGGATTTGGTAAAGGATCAAGGGGAAGTAGTTTAGATTCATCCAAATTAACAGATACCAGAATATATAGCAAAATCTGACAATGTGCCATGACAGTACGCAGAGAAGACTGTCTGCCAAGAAAAGCAGGGTGTCATTTGCATATAATGCAAGTTTCTCTTCCTCTGAACCTTTTTTTTTAAAGCCTATAATGTTTGGAGACTTGTCTCATAGCAGTTAAAGGTTCTATGGCCAACGCAAACAATAAGGGAGGGGACAAACCTGTCTGGTGCCCCACTGTAAACAAAAACCAGGGGAAGTTCTCAATCCTAATTTTGTCCAAGGGAGTATGATGTAGCAAACGTACCCTGGGACCAAACCTGGACCCAAATAAAGATAAAATGGCCCATAAGTACCTCCATTCAACACTATCAAATGCCTTTGCTATATCTAAAGCCACAATGCTCTATTACCGGTATTATGTATAGGCACTTGCATATTTAAATAGGCTCTTCGTATGTTTAAAATTATTTTACAATTTATTTTAAAAAAGGCAATTTTTAAATTGGCAGCAACAAGTCTCAAAGTTGAGAACGGCAAGCAGTTAAAACAATCCTGTATCTGTCTAACTAGTTTCCTTTTTTTTTTAATCTAGCCTCAAGCTGCAAAGCCTAAATCTGCGCAGAAATCCAACCACAATGGAAAGTTATCTGAACCGTCCACACCTGCTAAACCTGTTAAAGTATGTATTTGCTACAATATGCTTTCAACGGGGGAAAATGTGAGAGAGAGAAAAAATGTACCCAAAATCTTGGTGTATCTAACGCCAAAAACACTGGAGAAAGCCTTGGAAATGAAAGTAGCTACATTTTACCAGAATTGGGTCACTAATAAAGAAAAATGAGCAGGGATGCGCCGCTATATCGGCCACAAAATGGCACTTTCGGCATTTTGCCGAAAGTGCCATTTTCGGCCGAGTTGTTTCGGTGGACGGTATATCGGTGCATCCCTAGATAAAATAGTTACATAGTTTCTCCTGCTTCCAAGTTTGGATGGAAACCCACAACATATATGGGGAGGCCCCACAGATATGAGCAAGATTTGCTAGCAGATCTCCATTTTTATATACCATTGAGGTTAAAGGTAGTTGCCACTTGTTGCTTAGACTACAATGGGATGGAATAGGTTGTCCATTGCGTCTTGCCCATTAGCACAGGTATAATTGTGGTAATCAAAATCTCATTGTGTTCTGAATGATGAACCTGAAAGGAAAAAGTAATAGTTTCAGATGTTGCTCTCCATAGGTGCCAACACTAATGCTTTAAGCCTAGTAAAATCATTAGCAGCGTAAAAAGACCCACATATTCGCTCTCCTTTTATATAAAAATTGGCATGTTTAGTTTCTTAACATCTCACCTATGTAAACGGGCGCTTTAGAATTGTGCACTCTATATGGTATGGAAGCTATATGTTAATACAAGATTCAGAATTTTGAAAATACACACATTTATATAGTTACATGGTAGGTGAAGTTTTAAGTCCCACACAAGCACATGCGTCATGTAAACACGTGTAGTGCGCCTACGTACGAAACCGACGACTGCGCTACATATGTTGGGTATCACCGCACACGCCAGAGAGCAATAGGGCCAATATTTACACGTATCTCAACACTGATGACCTGTAGGGGCTTTTTAATTAGTCTATGGACTTCGGGTACTGAATTCTGTCGCCGTTTCCCAAACGCACACAATTTTGAACCTGGGCATGTTGGGTATCTATTTACTTGTTGTAACCTCATCTTTTATACTTTACAAAAAAATGGTTTCTATAGTGTTTTTGGGGCACTAAATATAACTTAAGTGCATTTTTTGCAAAAATTGTAGGTTTTGTTAAGTTGCGCTAATTTAATTAAAAATTTGCAACTGCCACAATTTTAATCTATAGGGTCTTGGCTTAAAATGTGGTTTGTACCATGGGTGCAAAATATGGAAAGGACCCTTTGTCCTTAAGGGATTAAGGTTGTACCATATCCCTTCCAATTTCTTGTTCCCCCGTATCTTCCCCAGAGTTCTTGATTTTATGTAGTGTGTTCCCAATACACATTGGTCTCGGTGGCCAGGTAAGAATGTTTGACCTAGATTGCCATGATGACCACGACACTTGTAGTGTGATTTTCAAAATGTTTATGTAACTTGTGATCCAGGCCTACTCGCTCTTGGCTGGATTAGGATGTCCTTCAACCTCACACTTAGCTGTAGAAAATTGTCAAAAGAGAACAAAAGAATGTGATGGAGTGGGTTCATGTTAGTGGACTCTGTATTTAACAGTGCTCAAATACCTGTGCAGAACCCTTTGACCAAAACTAGCATCTGCTGGGCAGGCACGTTGACCTGATAGTTTAGAGAACATATGCACAAAAGGCCATGTCACAGCCTTATAGATGTGAGACTGAGGTCTGACGAAAAGCTTAAGAAGCGCTTACTGCACAGCAACCTGTTGAATCCACTTGGCATTAGTGGATGTGGAAGGCAGAGAACAACTTTTAGGGCCTTCTCGAATAACGGCTAAAAAACAAAGCAGCTGAGAGGTAACCTCCAAAAGCCCTTACCACGTCCAGGCAATTAAGAGGGAACTCCTTGGGGTAAACCAGTGCAGACAGAGAAGGCAATTTTCCATTATGGTAAAAGGCAGAGACCACTTTGGGTAAAGAGGTCCTTGGTCTCCAACAACCTTGTATCTATTTAACCACTTCAGGCATGTGAACATATATACACGCCCGCCTCTTGAAATGGTTATACCAAGAAAACAGCTACTGCAGCAGTCGTGTTCCTGGTATAATTTTAACAGCCACCGACGGTTGTGCAGATCCAAACATCTGGTGGCTATACAGGTACCTGATTGCATGTGCACGGCAGGTCTCCCCTCATCGATCAGGGAGATCAGCAAGCTTCCAGGTTCTGATCCTCTGATCACTGGACCCGGAAGTGATGTGTATTACATCACTTCTGTTGGTCACATTCTCAAACTCCTGTAGCCAGGAGAAGCAGATTTCAACCACCATGATGCTGTGTGAAATTTTTTGAAGCACCCCAGACTGCCACAGCACCCTGGTTTAGTGAGGCTTTTCTGATCTTTGGGTCAGCTGTCATCTATCAAAAATGTGTACTGTTCATATGTAAATTATGTATTTTTGTACATCTGTTAACAGACACCTGAACAGAAAGGGAAACGAGAGGCAAAGCAGCATACACCAAAGTCTCCAAAAACACCCTTTACACTTGAAGAGATAAAGGCAAAGATGAAGGGGACTTTAGACAAGGTAAGGCTATTAAACTATAAATGGGCTTTTTTTGCTGCTGGTACTTGTAAGTACTATGGTAGAGCAGTAACTGTTGCATCTTCAGCCAATAGCATGCTTACATCCAAAGTGAGAAGAAATGTGGGACACAAAAATGGTACTTTTCTACTTGGACAAAGGGAAAACCTCTCAGTGGAGATGCACGGCAATAAAAACTGGGCAAAGAGCCCAACCCTTTCCTATGCTATTCATAAACGTTTTGCCTTTACATAAACACTTGAAGAGAATTCTGTGGCAGGAAATCAAGGATACCTGGACATATTTTTTAATTTTATTACAGGTATTTATGGAGCGCCGACAATTTACGCAGCGCTTTTACATAGTTGCACATTCACATCACTCTGTACTCTCAAGGAGCTTACAATTTTTAAGGCCCCTATCTCACATGCATACATACAGGTCCAACTTGGAGAGCAGCCAATTAACCTACCAGCATGTCTTTGGAGTATGGGAGTACCCAGGGGAAACCCACGCAAGCACAGGGAGGACATGCAAACTTCTTGCAGTGCCAATCCAAAATCTTTACGGACAGTGCCACCACTCTTTTGTAGGGCTGTCACAGAGGAACTGTATGTGTTGTTGAATAACGAATACTACAAAGATCTCTTCCCAGTCAGCAGTTGATTAAAGATCATGCTGTAAAACCCATAAAAAAAAAAAAATCATAGGAAGGTTTTTAATCCATGGATCTGTGACATCCTGCCACAAACTAGGAAATCTGAGCACTTTATCACTGGGAGTTAAGACACTAGATTGTGCCAGCACCTTTGTTTATTTTGCACCTAGCATCCTCTTTCAGGTGGTAATATAACCCACAGGTGTAAAGATCCATATCTATCCTATGAACAATAGAGCTGAAGAAAATTACAATATTACTTTGGTTATTAAAGGCGTTCTACTTGGTAGCACCTTTTTTGCAGCATACCCCTATAAACACAAGAAGTGATATTTTTACTGATACAACTGCCAAGCTAATAGGGAAACTGTTAAACAATTTTGGTGAATTCTGCATCTTGTAAAGAGTTGATTAATATGAACTATATTTCAATGCTTTAGGGTGGCGCACTTCCAAAAATTGAAGCAAAGTTCACAAACTACGTGAAGAACTGCTTCAGAATGGATGACCAGAAGGTAAGATATGATTGTGCATGGTTAGATTTAATAAATGTTGAGCTGTTTGTGTATCTAGCACACATCTCTAAGGGACCCAATTATAGTCACCAATGCCAGTATACCTTCTGCCATAGGATTAAAAAAAAAATAGGGGTTCAAACTGGAGTCTCGTTTTAAACACTGATGACTGCAATAAAATGCTTGGTCATTTCTTTCACTTCTGTCCTGGTAACAAAATCCCTCTCCATTGTCTGAATTCCCCTGATTGCGGCTGGACAGGTAGTTTCTCCAAAGCAAAGGGTTAGTAGGGTTAAAAGAAAAGGTGTCCTCATTTATGCATAGCGTTCATGAATTTGGTGCAAACCTATGAAACTGCTGCTGGCTCCTGAGATGCATTTGGGTCATATGTGCACACTGATAAAGTACATGGTTGCTATCCAACTGAAAGATGTCTCTGACATATGCCACACATCTAATGTATAATAATGTCTGATTTTCTGACAATAGTCCCATTGCCCTTTAGTTTAGCAGTCAACTTGTATCTGAGACAGATTTCGGTTGGCACCTGCAGTATGTTGCATACCGTGACAGACATACACAGTATGAATGTGCAACAGGCTTTAGTGAAGTCAAAAAATACTTGGTCTTGCTTTGCATCAATTTTCTTATTACTGAACTGCCAGTTTATTCAATATATCGCAAGCACAGTGCCACAATGAACTATGGTGCAAATAAGGACTAAAGTTTGGTGCAGGAGTCAGAAGAGGTCCTGAAAATGGTACAGAGGGGAACTTATCAAAACTGCAGTAGACCATCTGGAGCAGTTGCCCAGGGCAACCAGTCAGTGTCTCTCCCGTTTAAGTCAAGATTTGAAATGAAAAAGCTAATTGGTTGCTGTGCACAGCTGCTCCAGATTTTGCAAAGTGGTTAACTGCAGGTGCAATTTTCCAGTTGGCTGCCAATTTACATGGCTGGTTTACTGTAGCATGTCATTGTAAACCAAACAGGATGTATTCATCCATTGTGTATAAGAAATGGCTGTTTTTTGCTTATGCATTTGCTAATACTTTTTGTTATCTTTACAGGTCATACAAGATCTCTGGAAGTGGAGCCAATTGCTAAAAGATAAATAAACTGCCTGTTTCTCTTACTGTTCTCCTCCATTTCACATCTTGTTTTATATTTGTTTCTTTCTTTGTAAGTAGAACAGAATGTATCGGTCTGTTATGCCAAGAATGTTCAATGCCTGAAACTGCATATTTTGTACACAAATGTTTTGTGAAAGTACTGTAAGATGATTGGGCAGATGGTCTAAAGTTCAAACATACATGTTTAAATAAATCTGTATTTTTTACTTCTTTGGGGCCTTGTAGTGTTCTGCAGAATTGTGCTTGGTTATGGTAATGACTGAAAAGCTTTAACTCCTTAGTATGGTGACCTCAGGTGGTGAGAAATTTTACTACTAAATGTAGTCTGAAACTGTTCTAAGCATTAAAGCTGATCCTTACTTTTGATTGGTCTATGCAAAGTTGCCTCTAATGCTGGATATACTTCATCTAGATCAGTGGTTCTCAACCTGTGTAACCTCAGGACCCACATTTGTCCTTGGTCATTAACTTGTGACCCAAGTCACAGCATTAGGGTACCGCACATTCCTGTGTGGGAGGTGCGCTTGGAGTACAATACAAATGAATGGCATCGCAACACTTCCCACATCAGAATGCACAGTAGGAGTGATCGCATGATTCAGTGCATTAATCGCACAGTACTTTATGATTAATGCACTGTACTAGTGTGAATGGACCCTAAAAACACTGACACACACACCTACACTATATGTTGCCAAAAGTATTGGGACGCCTACCTTTACATGCACATGAACTTTAATGGCATCCCAGTCTTAGTCCGTAGGGTTCAATATTGAGTTGGCCCACCCTTTGCTGCTATAACAGCTTCAGCTTACACCACTGCATCCCATGCTTTGCATTGTACTTGGTGATGTAAGGCTTGGATGCAGCTGCTCGGCCATGGAAACCCATTCCATGAAGCTCTTTACGCACTGTTGTGCCAATCTGAAGGCCAGACAAAGTTTGGAGGGCTGTAGATATTGAATCTGCAGACAGTTGGCGACTTCTGCACACTGCACTTCAGCATGCACTGACCCCGCTCTCATTTTTATGTGCCTTACCACTTTGTGGTTGAGTTGATGTTTCCAGTTGCTTCCACTTTGTTATAATACCACTAACAGTTGACCGTGGAATATTTAGTAGCAAGGAAATTTCATGGATGGACTTAAAGGTGCACAGGTGGCAACCTATCACGGTACCACACTTGAATTCACTGAGCTGAGAGCGACCCATTCTTTCACAAATGTTTGTAGAAGCAGTCTGCATGCCTAGGTGCTTGGTTTTATACACCTGTGGCAATGGAGGTCATCGGAACAGCTGAATACAATGATTTGGAGGGATGTCACAATACTTTTTGCTATATAATTATTGTGTGTATTTTTTTTTTTTTTTTAAAGGTTTGTTTTGTCATTTTATGAGCACATAGTGTAGACTCAAGTAAACAAATCGTATTGCAACCACTGCAGGTGGGGAATACAAGATACATTTTATATATAATGTAAATGTTGTATCATTCTAATCCAAAATTATCAAAATATAAAAGTATAAAACACATCAATTCAAGCGAAGTCCAGTACAGGTAACAGTGTCCAACATTTGTAGGGAATTACTAGATAGTGTGGACTTTGAGACAAGGACTCAAGTGACATGAGCTGGTCGGTCCCAAAAGAAAAAGGGGGAGGGGAGAGGCATATCAAGAGAGGGGAAGAAGTACAGTGGGGAAGGACAGGTTTTAGAGGAAGGCAGAAGATAAGGAGGCTAAATATAAGAAACATCGAGCTGAGTGTTCTCCTGAGCTCCACATTTTTAAATGGACAAGGAGTCTGCACCAAGGTGGGAGGAAGGTATGACTCAATCCATGGCTCCCACAATTTCCGAAATGGCTCCATTGCATCCCTCTGAATGGCAGTGAGTTTCTCAACATCACACGTGATATTCTAGACTTAACTTCACCAAAAGGGAGGTCAGGGGACTTCCAAGATTTCACAATGACTCGCTTAGCCTCTGTGAGGATGATCATGATCAAGCGATGTTGGCGTGTCGTACACACCGTGGGCTTTTTGTGTAGGAGAGCTTCCAGCGGGTCCTTGCAAAATGTCTTGCCTGTAACAGTGTATAACAGTTGATAAACCCTGTGCCAGAATCTCCGCACTTTAGGGCAGGACCACCATATATGGAGGACTGAACCCTCCACCCGGCAACCCCTGAAACAGTGTGGAGAGTGAGAAGGGATAACTTTGGCTATCCGGAGCGGGACTAAGTACCACCTAAAGAGCACCTTTTGTAGTTTGCCTCTATCGTTTGTACATTCATCGAACTCTTGGAGGTTGTTCACCATATTTGGTCCCAAGTGTCAAGGGAGATGGAACATCCTAGATCTTGTTCCCATTTAAGGGTGTAGGCGGGTAGGGAGGCATGCAACTTTTCCAACAATAAGGTATATAGGGTCGATATAGTCCCTGAGTCTCGAGTCCCGTCATGTACCAGTCTCGAAGGAAGTGAGGGGGGGGGGAGACCCCAGGCGGGACAGCAAAAAGTGTATGATCTGAATAAACTGGAAGATGCATCTGGAGGCTATCTGGTGGTCTGCGTAGAGCGACTCGAATGGTATGATCCCTTGTGCTGAACAGAAATCAGTAATCCGACTCGGGGATTGTAAGAGCCATGGTTTAAAAGCAAGTGGGTTGGAAAATCCTGGTTGGAACAGAGGGTTACCATGGATGGACATCAGATGAGTGTGGGGGGACATCCAAACCATAGGGCGCTTCAGCCCATCCCAAACCTTCAAGGTGTGTCTTGAGGATAGGGTTGCTAATGTTCCCCCTCAGTTTGGGTGGTAGCCAAGGGAGATTGAGGAAGGAAATTGGGGAGCAGGTGTAGGCTTCCAGCAAGACCCTAAGGGGCATTTCAGTTTTCCCAAAGCTTTGTACAAGGGGAGCAAACTGGGCCGCTTGGTAGTATTTCTGAAAGAACGGGAGTCCCAGTCCCCCCTCCAGTTTGCTACGATAGAGTACCCGATGTGATACCCTCGGGAAAGTTCCTTTCCAGATAAAACGGAGTATACGCTGTTGAAGTAACCTAAGTCTAAAGGCGGGGATAGGGACTGGGAGGACCCTCGCGTGATAGAGGAATTTGGGAAGCAGTGTAATTTGGACCGCTGTAATCCTGCCAATCCACGAGATTGGAATCTCTGTTATCCTCTTGGGAGAAACATCCTAATTGGACAGTAGACTAGGGTAATTGGCTTGGTAAAGGCGATCATAGGAAGGGGTGAGGTAGATCCCCAAATAGGGTAGTGCTGTGTCCACCCACTGGTAGGGGAAAAATTGTTGTAATGAAGAGCATATTGATGGGGGTAAAGATACATTCAACGAAGTGATGTAGGAGGGGTTGTAGTTGGGGAAGAGAAGTCATTGGGTCGGTAATAATCAAAAGTGCATCATCAGCAAACATTAGTAAAAAAAAAAAGCTTTTTCAATTAAAATTAAATAAAATTAATCTAATAATAATAAAAAAATGTTTTTAAAGTTTTTTGCAACGAATCTAGGCAGCTATTCAGGTCATCCACGGTAGTAAAGGTGTAGGTTTTCCCGTCATAGAAAAACTGCAACTTAAAGGGGAAGCCCCATCGATACCTGATCCTCTTCGCTTGGAGCACTTGAAGCAGGGGGCGAAATTCCCTTCTGTGGGCGATGGTAGCCGGCAAGAGATCCGAGAATATTTGGTAGGCAAATCCCTGGAACTCCAAAGTCCCAGCCTCTCTAGCCGCCTGAAGAAGACGTTCTTTAGAGCGGTAGTAATGGAGGCGCACGATGATATCACGTGGAGTGCCCTCCTGCGTGCGTTTGGTAAGCGCTCTGTGAATCCTGTCAAACTCTAACCTTTCAATGGGAATGTCCGGTGCCAGCTCTTGGAATAGTGCTGTCATCGTAGATTGTAGATCCAGGACCGACTCAGGGACCCCTCGGATGCGGAGATTTGACCTGCGGTCCCGGTTCTCAGAATCCTCCAGCTGTGTGAGGAGAGATAGATTCAGGGAGCGCAGCCGCTCCAGGTCATCTTCGTGTCCTTCTATAATAGATGTGATGTCGTTACGAGTTTCCAGCGTGGTAGTGCGCTTGCCCACATCTCTAATCTCCTTTATGAGTTGTGAGGTGATCTGTTTGGAGACCCTGTCCAATGCCTTGTGAAGGGTCGTTTCAAACTGAGCAAGCAGTGAGTGGGTAATCTCTGGGTCAGCCTGAGTGGCCTGCGTATCGACCTCGAGGGGGTCTGGAGGCTCTGTCGAGGAACGAGACTCGTCATCTCGGGGTGGTGGCGCCGGCGCCATCTTGGTAGCCGCGCGGCCCAAGGCCTCGTGAAGCGTTGACTGGCTTAGTTTACCTCCCCGACTTCTAGTGCAGGACATGGTGGTATCAATCCGTCCGCTAGATGATCCCAGACCCGTGGTCACCTGAATTGTCCAAGATCAAGGGCTGTGGCAGGCTAAAAGGCTCTCAATAGTTCCCGTTCTGGCGCGGAGCTGATCAGTGAGCGTCCATCTTGGTCAGCCTCGCGCATGCGCCCTGTGTATATATTTTTTTAAGCTCCACCCAGTCTCCCTTTCTTAGGAAAACTGGAGTGGATCTTCAGCCTGGGATCCAGTGTGGGCTGCTGTGCTGTGACTGAGCTCCATATGTGCATTGCTTGTACAACTCCCTTGCACGCCCTGTGGAGGTGCTGAGAGCCAGAATGTGATGTCACGCCGGTCCTGGCACCTCTAAGACCTGTGCGGGAGCTGTAAGCAATGCACGTGTGGATGGAGCTCCCAGCCCACTCTACCTCAAGCTGACACTTTGGCGCCGGGCAGCATATTTTGAATAGCTGCTTGACGTGAGAATTGACGGTGCTGCATTAAGGGGAGGCTGAAGAGCCTCACTTCTCACTGAACACATGGGCGCGACACACCAGTTGAGAACCGAGGATCTAGATGGCTGCTTAGGATGTGTTCATCCAATATACTGTAAGCTTTGTGTTGCTGCTGTGAGTTCAGGGTCTTGTACAGTAAATAGTTGCTCTTTCCCCAGGGGCCTTGGGCTGGACAAAGAGGGGTAAATAAATGACAGGACTGTTGTGTACAATCACAATGTATTTTCACATAATACAAGGTGCGCTATCAGTGAATGAAGGGGGATAGCATTTCCTTCACTGTACTAAGCCCAGAACACAACAGCAATGCCCGGAAGATCAAA